ACCATTATTCTTTCAGAAGGAGAGAAGAAATCTAGGGTAATTAGAGGGGGGAGGGGGAAAGAAGAGAGGGGAATGGGGAGATATTGGACTAGGGGCATAAAGAATAATTACGATTTGTAACAATATATATGCTAGTAATATTGACTTGATCAACATATCTCAATGTTGAACCCCAAAAATATGTATGATCAATTTTGATTCAATAAGAAAAAATTAATTAATCTAAGAAAAGAAAATAAAATGTCTCTAGACATTGCCAAGTGTCCCTAGGGGGCAAAATTGACTCCAGTAGAGAATCACTGCTATAGTGTATTTACTAAAATTCTTATCATGCTTTTCAGGAGCATAATTTGGAATAAAGCAGTATACCTTTAGTACATAGGCACAAAATCAGCAGAATAAAAAAGCTGCTAGGCAGTAATTTGGATAGTTCAGCATAAATAAAAAGGTCAGACTACATTTCTTAATCAAAGACTAGATTGTCTAGGTAACTGGTATAGAACAGACCACTAGAAACATTTTAGTGAGTGCTATAAAAGGAAAAAAATTAGTTTATAGCCACAGATGTAATTTATGGCTGTTTCTTCAATCATTATTTTAAAATGTGAGGCCACAGGATCTGTAGATTTTAAAGGATACATGAAGGTCCTTTCATTATTTTGTGATACCTCCAAATCACAGCAATTTTCCATGGCATCCTGGAATAAAAATGTGTTTCACTCTTTTTGTCATTATGTCTAGAACAGGTGATGCCCAGTACCCTGCTGAGAACGTCATTAAGCTAATTTCCTTGCCAGAATTTTTGGCATCCTGTATCTCGATGAGCATTCATCAGGCAAGCCAGTTCACATAGTGCACTTCAGTCTAAACATAAGCCAGAGGAGGTAGTAAAATGTAGCTAGTTGAGAAAAAGAGAAAAGTAAAATGTTTAAATATTACCACAGAACCATTATCACACCCCAAAATATCAAAGTAATCCCTTAATATCATCAAGTATCCTGTTATTCTTCAAGTTTGCAATTGTATCATAAATTTTTTTTTACAGTTTTTCATTTGAATCAGGATGCAAAAAAGATCCACATTTTGTGATTATTTGATATATGAAGGGTTTTCAAAAAGTTCATGGAAAGGTTTGTATTATGTTTTAATTCTATTTTCCACGAACTTTCTGAAGTACCCTCATACTTCTTAAATATTTTTTGATCTTTGTTTCCCCTTCTCTTTTTCTCCCCTTATAATTTATTTGTTGAGAAACTGTGTTATTTGTTTTGCATTGTTTCCCACAGCCTGGAGCCTGTATCTTCATAGTGTCATTTACTTAAATGTCACTTATGTTTCTCTGTCTCTTGTATTTCCTGTAAACTGGTAGTTGCAGCTAAAGGCTTGATCAGATTCAGATTCAGTTTTCTTCTTGGCAAGTCCAAAAATAAGGTGATAGCCAATGATAATATTGTTGTCCTCTTGCTCAGTGACTTGCAAATTGATTTAGCTAAGGTTCGTTGAGTATTTACTATGTGCCCAGCAATGTGCTTAGGTTCTGTAGGCATTATGTCATTTAATTTTATTTAAGCTTCACAATACTAGTACATATCGATTTCTATCTGATCACCAGATCTCTTATTAGGGCCAAGTAATCTTAAATATCTTTCAGACAATCCCGACTATAAACTGTTGTCATTTATGTGATTTAATTTTATCTGAATTTTCTTTTTACTGAATACATTTAGAACTATACAAAAATACTTTGCATTAAAGTCACCTTTTAATTTTAACGGTAAAGCTAAAAGACCTATCATTTAACTGTGAGTTCATTGTACTCAAGCTTTTTGGTACTGGGATTCACCATCTGTTAACCTTACAAAGACAGATATTTAAACCGCTAATAGGGCCAACAGAATTCAGTATTTCCTGAGTCTCTTTTTCCTTTGCACTCGTTGTTTTCTGCAGGTGCACTTATGTCTCTTTCATCTGTTTCTGCTTTCTTTGCGTGCTCACAGTATACTACTGTTTCCCAGTGTGAGAAACTGGCTTTGATTGTAAAAGCAAAACTAGCTTGTCATTGTTTGTTTACATATCTTTAATTTTTCTACCCAATTCTCTCCATAATCCTCAATTCTACTGTTATAAAATCAGACTAGTGGAATGCCAGACCCAAAATATAAATGTCAAATTATCTTGACCAACTGCCACTTTTGAAGATTAAACTGTTTGATATGCGGGTGGGTGATGGAGAAAAGGCACTAACTGGCCCAAGTTTTGCAATTAGATACCAGAGCACTGGAAGCAAAACAATGCAAAGAGGATCCTATTGTGTGGCTTTATAAGCTGGCATGCAAGGAGTAATTTACTCTTATTATTCATTTCTTCTCCAGTCCTTTCTCCTTTAATAGTTGTAACATTCTCCTCAGTTTTCAGAATATTAGGTGAAACATTTGGTTGGTTGAATAGAAGGAATGGACTTAAAGCCCTGGTGAATACAACAGGGAAATAGGAATGACTGTGGTGTTGAATTTCTTATTCTGGTTGTCACTATGAGACATTAGACAAATACGCAGATTATCTGTTCTTATTTCTTTAAAACAAAATTATTTTTATCATGATTATTCATAAAGACCTGTAATATTCTTATTTGAAACACTCTTTTGTAAGCTCCTAGTGTGAATGGGAATTGTATCTGTCTTTACCTGTTCTTATGCAGTGCCCAGGGTAGCATGGTGCACGTGCTTGTACTTAATAAGAAGCTTTTGAGGATGGTGGTATTTGAAAGGTTATACATCTTAAAGGATATTTTGTTTCCTTTTTACTTGGCAGGACCAGGGAGCTTCCTTTTCTAAGACCAGTGCTGTTTGTACTCAGTGAAAGTACACTTTGTTCTAGAATTGCCATATGAAAGCCTAGAATATATATTGAGTTATTCCAAGAAGGGGGTGGAAAATCACGTTCTAGGATAGTGAGTGTTGACTTGGTGCTGAATGAATGATTATGTGCTCTTTTACTCACAGGCTCGCTTCTCATATGTGCGGATGAAATATCTTTTCTTTTCCTGGTTGGTGGTTTTTGTTGGAAGCTGGATTATATATGTGCAGTATTCTACTTATACAGAACTATGCAGAGGAAAGGACTGTAAGAAAATAATAGTAAGTATTTTTAATTTTCTAGTTTACTGGAAAACCTCTTAATAACAGAGTATATTTACTACTTATGTACTTAATAATTGGTGTCAAAAATAAAAGTTAATTTGACATTAGAGATGTGCTGAACTTCTTAGTTATGTTTTTTTATTTTTATTGAATCAAAATTGATTATACATATTTTGGGGTTCAACATTGAGATATATTGATCAAATCAATATTGCTAGCATATATATTGTTACAAATTATAATTATTATTTATGCCCCTTGTCCAATCCCTCCCCATCCCCCTTTCCCTCCCTCAGGCCCCCTCTAATCACCCTAGATTTCTTCTCACCCTCTGAAAGAATAATGGTTACTCTGTTCATTTTCTGCCTGAAAGATCTGTCCAATGCTGAGAGGTGTGATCAGGTCCCCCAATACTATCATAGAGCAGATGCCTCTTCCATCACTCTGAAATGGGCTTTGGGGAGAGAAAGATCCTCCTCCTTTCTTTTTTTTTTTTTTTTGTCTTTTGTCTTTTTCCGTGTCCGGCAATGGATCGCAACCCTCAGTGTTGCCTCCGTACCGGACCGGGGACCGGCAACAGGATTGCAACCCTCGGTGTTGCCCCCGCGCCTCGCTCAGCCAGTGAGCGAGAACCGGTCTGTATGTCGGATCCGAACCCTCGGGCGGGAGCGCCGCCGCACTTCCCAAGCGGCGCACTATCCATTGCGCCATCGGGCTGGCCCCTCCTCCTTTCTTTATCTCTGCTGGTGACTCTCCTTGTGTTAAGGCACTCCAGGGCTGGCGGACGATCTTCATGGTGGTTGTGGCATCTAGCCATCTTCATGGCAGCCATGGTTATCGTGGTGGCTGTGGTGGGCCACCCACACGGAGAAGATGTTTTTGGCATGCTCCTTGGCACTGGCGGTGTGCCTGGTTGTGGAGAATGTCCGATCCCCAGCTCCATAGCCCAGGTCCCTGAGTGGGTCCTGATGTGCTGGTACAGTGTGCCTGGTTGTGGGAGGGGGGTCCAGTCCCCTCTCCATGCCATGAGTCCCCCGAGTGGGTCCCAAGGCACTGGCGAGGTGTGCCTGGTTATGGGAGGGGGGTCTGGTCCCCAGCTCCATAACCTGGGTCCCTGGACAGCTGGAGGTGCTGGCGCAGTGAGCCTGGTTGTGGGAGGGAGTCCGGTTTCCTTCTCCATGCTCCGGGTCCCCAGGAGGGCCCTGAGACATTGGTGGAGTGCCTGGATGTGGGAGTGGGATCCAGTCCCTTGCTCCAATCCTCGGGTTCCTGGGTGGGTCCCCACGGTACTGGTGGTGTGAGTGGTTGTGGGCAGGAGTCCTGTCCCTGGCCTCATGCCTCATGTCCCCTGGTAGGCCCCAAGGCATTGGTGGTGTGCCTGGGCCGGAACTAATTTGTTGTTCTTTGCTTACTTATAACACAGGGGAACTTCCTGTGGGAACCAGTACTTGAGCTGTGTGGTTGAGCTAAATTGCTGCTTTGCTGCTGATTCCCTAGGGAAGACTTTTTGTGCAGCTCAGGGTTTAATGGTTGACCTTATAGGTACTTTTTGCTC